GTTTTTTCTTTGATGTTGCAACAAATGGAGGTAAGATTCAGCGGCCTGTAGTTAAACCTGATGCGCGGCTTCCACTCTTGAAAAGCCGAGCGATCGTTGTTGTCTTCCAATCAGAGGGTAGGCAGCCAGTAACAAATGATGTCTGGAATATGAAGTCTAGGGGCTTGGCCAGTTCAGAAGCTAGGGCCTTCAACAGTTTGGCCTGGGGAGGTCGATTCTTTCAAATTTAGAAGCGCATTCGTAAGTCCGAAGGGGAAGAGAACTCTATAAATAAAAGGAATCGAATCATCTTCATAATTGGGTGATAAAAAACCGGGTCCAGTCGTTACGACGGACTGGAAGAACTGGGAGAGATGGTAAGCCTTGTCCTTGTCCCCTGAGATTTGTGAACCTTCGGCAGTCCGCAATAAGGGGTAGGATCCTTGTCTCGTAGTATCTGCCTTATGTAACTGCAAAGGACTTTCGATCAAATATGGCATGGGTTAACGGATCATGTGCGAATATCCGTTGACCCTCTAACGATGAGACTTTTGACTCGGTTCCTCTGCATCCTGTAACTATTGAGGAATACAGGCGTCCAATCAACAAGGGGCCTTTTCCACGGTTTTCTCTTCTTGTTAACTTCCGTTTTTAAGGATGAAGTCGACGAGCGAGGTCTGTTCGTTAGTATTCTGCAAATTATTGGGCAGTGGCTAGAGGTGAGGTTATGGACTATCTCCTTGAATTGTCTTTATGCTTCTTTAACATTGACGAAAAGTGCGGATGCCCAGTCTATGAAACAAAGATCTGTTTCGAAATCGACAAGCCAAATATTTGGTCGGAATTCTTGCGGCTGAGCAAGCATAGAAAATAAAGTGTTTTTCCTACATCAGAACCTCATGGTCGCCCTAGCCCAGTGGGGATAAGCAATTAACAATGTCAATATTGTCAGGTGACTTAGTGAGCACAAGAGCGAGGCAGTTCATTCGCTGGCTCTCACTAATTCCTGTCGCAAATGTGACGTGTTGGACGAGAAGCAGGGGCTCAATTATCTACAGAGGTTGGTGGTCAAATGACGATTCAAGGCCATCGGCGAAGTTTGAGCTCCATTTGGTGGTAGATGCATTGAAGTCCCCAATCATAAGAGTAGTTGATCGGATAACAAAGACTTTAAGCTCATCCAGCAATAGGGTATCAGCTTCAAGATCGTTTCTTGGGGGTCGCCGGACACTTGAGGTATCAAAGCTTCGGAAAGCCGTTGCTCTTGTGAAGCAAAACAGGACAGTTAGCTGAATAACGTTTTCACCAATGCTCCTGACAAGATGGACGACATATTTTCTCTACTCACCCCCCCCTTAGTCGGAGTGATTATGCAGCAATTTAATGCGAGCACGGTTAAGTTTCGGTGAGCTGGGCCGACTTTTTTTTTTGAAACTATAAACGGCATTATCGATCAGCATTTCATAATTTCGGATGTGGACTGATCGACTATGTCCTCGTTCTTTGCCCAGCCGATGGTGCGGATTTTGGCATAGGTTGACGGCAGTTAGTGTTGCGCTTCGTCTCCACGGTAGGGGATACTGGTAATTCTGTTTTCTATTTTGGTGGGTTCGACGGAGAGCCGCATTCGCCAGCAATTCTTAAGTTCAGTTTGAGTATGTCCTGTGCTTTACTCAAGTAAGTGTGTAGGACTTTATAGGTCGTGGGAAGGTATAGATGCCTGTTGACGGAGTCGGCATCTGAATATCATGCCTCAAACCTCAGTCATTCCGTTTTTAATGTTCCTCGGCATACGATGGTCACTCCTTGAACATGAAAGTTGTGTCCAATCCACTCGATATGCGTTGCAATATGCGAGCCTGGGTTTAGTTTCCGAGCCGCCAGTTTGTGTTTGTGTAGGCGAGTTTGTAAATTTCGCCTCGTTTCTCCAATTTAATCACAGTCCTCATCTTTGCAAAGAATCTTGTAAAGAACTGCGAAAGTTGCAGAAAAGGGTAGTCCGCCTTTAAATTGCATCGCATAGCGGCTTATTGTTACCTGAGTTCGATGGGCTATGTCTAATCCAGCGGGTTGTAACAGTCGAGATACTGCTTCGCAGATTGCGTTTATGTAGGGAATGACCCCCCAGACTTTGGGTTGTTGTTCTTTTGCCCGC